ATAAGCACCTTTACTTGTTCACTATTGCACACATGTTAAGACACCATCTTCTTCATTCCAATGTTTTATGCATGTCCCTTGTTTCACTATTAAATTCTTGGAGAATCTCCAAGAGATTACTTTAATATAAGATACTCTCTATTTTAGATAGTCAGTATAAGTTATTCTCTATTTTAGAGAGTCAATTCTTTAATTACACACCAATAAACTCTTTTTTAACTTTTTAAATAGAAAGTAACTCTCCGTCTATACTTTATAATGATTGCATTAAGCTCTGTTTGAGCTGCATCCTTTGAAAACTCATTTTTCCCCTAATTCATTTTCAATTACACATTCTTCAAATAAAATAATTTTACACGTAATTCCAATTTTTTCCTTATTTTTTAACCACACGTTCTCTAAAAAATCATTACTACAAAATCTATTCTCCCAAAAAATGGGGCTCAAACAAACCTTATATAAATTGAAAATTTCGATGTTCCATTTCTTAGATTATTCAAAACATATTTGAATTTATTGACAATTGACATTTGAAAACATATACATATATTAGTGAAAAACATTTATGAAATCGAGAAATAAAGATTTTCAAAAATTTTACTCTTTAAATATAAAGATGCTCGATATTATATACAAGATGTTTTTTCTTAAAAAAAAAAAAAAATCTCTTGAAGATGCTCTTATTTCTGATCTCTCTTTTCATTTAAAGAAGGTTACAAATAATTCTGCTTTTGTTGTGACCATTTGTTTTTGAAATAATGATGCAAAACTCTATTTATGTGCTTAAATTCTAAATTCATAATTTAGCACTGGATATCAACAGTTTGTTACTTGTGGTCGTGGTTTAGCTCAACTTGTAACCTTTTCCTATTCTTCTGTTTATGTTATTGGACTTGTACAATGAATTTGACTCAAGCCCACTCTTTTCAGGGTTTGATTTTACCATTTATACTTGATTCGTTATGTATTTCAGACAGTTGATAAATGAATAAATGGATTGTAGCGAAATTTCTCTCCTTCTCTATCTTTCTTCCAATTCTTATGTTGATTCTTCTTCTTTTACCGTTCTTCCTTTATAATCTCCTCTTCTTTATATATCTGTTTCGTTTTCTATTAATTGTTCCAGATGGTCCTACATTAGTATCACTCAAAGCTTCTCAATTCTACAAATTATATTACTAGAAGGCTAGCTGTCAAGGCAAGGCATTTTGTGCTCTCTTTTTGGGATTATTACCTTTGGCCCATGATACGAACCTTCACCCACATCCCCACACCCCACCACCGAAACAACACCAAACCACTCAACAGTAATATAAATAATAAAAGAAAGAATAATGTGGGAGGAAAAGAGAGGAAAAAAAGGGGATTCAACTACAATGTGGTGGATCAGTGATGTAGGATTTGTATTTTTAATGGACACCATATCTTTTAACTCAGTTTGTTTTACTCCTTCTTGTAGCTATTGGGAGATATTTTGGTAGATCGTTCAAATTTGACCGTGATGACTCGATATGTTAGCTCACGGGATAACTTGAGGATCCTTGCTGCTCTGTACACTAAAGCTGCAATCCAATTCATTAGAGAGAATGGATGCCATTGATTTTGAAGACAATTTTATTCACACTCAGATGCTAACATCATGGCTGTTACCAATGAACACTTCTGGACTGCTCTAGGACACAAGCAACCCATTCGCTTTGCGAGAGATTGTAGGTGAATTTTGACTGCTATATATCTTGCTTGATATTTGTCTCTTTATGTTTGTTGTCAATTTTGGCATGCGATTATTATGTGACATATACTAGGTTGTTTTTGAATGTATATATTAGTGTCATTTATTCAAATAAAACTATTTAATGTTCCAAATCTGAAAACATTCTAAATGTATGAATCAGTTCATTGTTTAGTTGAGTGATTCATCAATAAAACGACATTTAACTAATTTGATCTTATGGAGTAGAAATCATCAATTATGTCCTATATAATAAAATTATATAAGCATTAACAATCGTCAGCTTATTACAGCTGTAAATTTAATAACATTGGATACAAAATATAAAAAACTTAAATAAATAAAGAATTGAAACTAGAAGTTAAATACAGTAAATACAAAAATGTTCGTATTAAGAATAAAAAAAAAATATATGAAAAGAAAAGAGACGAAAAGTAAGTCAAATTGAACTAATATATAAATATTTTTGAAATTTACTAATGAATTTCTTTCAAATTTAGATACTCTTATTTTTAACATTAACAAACTAACATGCAACATATGTTCAGTTCACTAGTTGTCATATAAATATGTATATACTTAATCGAAAAGTGAATGGGAAAACAAAGTAATATATTGCATGACTCTCGTCATAATAAATCTTGTAAGATCATGATGAATGTAGTCAAAGTTTTTATCTTGACGATGCTTGAAATTTGAAATGCAATTTCAATTAATTCAATTGGCAGGACTATTAATGTTATTCTGAAGGAGTTTAATATAAATGAAGCATATAATTTAAATGATATTATTATAAGGGGGAGCAAATGCGCATTATAATATATTTTCTTTGACCAAAATTTTGTCACATTGAATTTTCCTTACAATATTTTTAATGAGGCAACTTTTGTAATATACTTAAAAAAATAAAGTATTATTTCCACTTCATTAGAAATTTTCTAGAAAAATATCAATGAAGATGCGATCTGGTGGTGGTTGTTGCAGATTGGAGCCGAAGAAGATAATAGGTGTTTGTAGTTGTTGGTAGCTGTTGTGGTGATAGCTGGCAGTGACGGATGTGATCGTTAAGGTTGGTGTGCCGTGTCGGGTGTTCAAAGCTCCCATGTGCAATGGTTTTGTGGTTTGAGTTTCTTCGTTGGTGGAGACTAATCAAGTGCAAGAGATTTTGGATGGCAATGGCGATGGTAGACGGTGGTGGTTGTGGTAGTGGGTGCGGTGGTGAAGGTGAGATGTTGGTTGTGTGGTCTGTTAAGGTGGATATGTTGATTTGTTTGAAACAAATGGTGGTGGTCGTGACAGTGGTGCTGTTGGAGGTAGTGGGTGTCACAAGTGTTGATAGTGATCACATATTATTTGGTTGATTATGATCATTAAATTAGTTAATCTGTGATCAATAAATAATATGTGATCAATAAAAAAGATAAATTGTGGCCAAGATATAATTTGTGAAATAATAATTTATTACCTACTAATAAGTTGTAACCTATAATATTTGTTATTTGTGACCCATAAATAAATTGTGACGTATAAATTTTGGATCTGTGACTAATGAACAAATTGTGACTTATAAAATTTTTGAATTGTAACCGTAAAATAATTTGTAACAATAACAAATTTTGATTTGTAATTGAAAAATAATATATGGCTAATTAAATTATAAATCTATGACCAAATTGAATAGATTTGTGTCTTTAATATATTTAATTAATAAAATATATAATTAATTAATGAAATTATAAATAAATTTTAGAGAATATCTGATTTTTTAAATTTGAAACTTTTATTCTTACGTTTAGAATGGACAATAGTTATCATCTTGTGAAATTTTCCTCAATATTGTTGCGTTGCTATAGTCATTTGATTTCCTTGCATGATGTTCATTTGGGCCGTCTTTTGAAGGCCTTTGGGCCCAGTATTTTCCCAACCGACAACGTAACGGGACTTGAATCGTCCACGTTGGCGAGTTATGGTGCATCAACATGTCCATCCATGTCTCTGTCCATTTAATCGGAACATTATGAAAGAGTGCTTTGTTTTCTACGTCGGATCACTGTGGAAGAAAGTACTTTTAGTTTCACAAATGACACAAAACAATGTTGACACTAAAATAATTATGTGACTCTTTCTAAAAGAACATACTTAGAACAAGATTTGGAAAATAAGAACATTTGACCCTTGCTTGAGCCCCACTTTTTAGAATAGATTTTGTCAAAAATATTATTTTTTATTTTTGCTAAAGTGTAGGATTAAAACTTTTTTTTAAAAAAATTTATGGATAAAATTATTTAAGAAAAAAAATGTGCGATTGAAAATATTTTTTAAAGAATGAGACTCAAATGGGACTTGACATAAAAGTAAGAATCAAAAGATTTTAGAAAGAAATTGATTTTTAGCCAGTTTTTCTATTTTTTAACAAATTCAATATTCTTTTTACTAATTAATAGATCAACATGTTAAATGTGTCTTTACAAAACTTTGTTAAAGTTTAATCAACTTTTAACAAGTTGAAGTTCACTTTTTTATCGAAATAACTTCAATTTCAACTATACATTTATAAAATCACAAATTTTATCTGCATATTTTATCCAAATGTACTAATTTGATCAAGGGATCCTCAAAGTTAGACCTTGTTTGAGCCCCATTTTTGGGAAAAAAAATTAATTTTAGGATAGTATTTTATTTTTAAAATGTGTGATTGAAAATAAGAAAAAAACTCGATGGACGTATAAAATTATTTTATTAAATAATATTATACTGAAAATGAATTTAGAAACATTTTTTTTTTGTTTCTGTTTTTTGTTTTGAATCCATTTAATGTTTTCTATTTTGAGAGATTATTTTAAGGTTATAGAAAATGTGTTTGATTTGTCATTCTGAAAAACTGTTTTTCAAACCAAAAAATTAGAAAACGCGTTTAGTTTAAAAACTTTAGAAATAAATTTATGACATTTGGGAGGAAAATGGAAGAGGGAGAGGGGTATTTATATTTGGATAAGTGTTGTGTAATTTTATTAATTATTTTAATTTGAAAAATTTTTAAGTTCATTTTCCTTGTTTTGAGTTATTTGAAATGTGAGAAAGTTGTTTTGAGTTTTGTATTATAAAATTTTCTTGTTTTTAAAATCATATTTTTAAAAATAATATATCAAATACGTTTTAAGCATTTTCAAAAATTGGTCTCCAAATGACAAATCAAACTCCTATGAGCTTTTTATAAATTGGGGTTCAAACAAGGGTTTACTATTATTTTGCAAGATGTTTCCTTTAAGAAGTTGGCTTAAGAAAAATAAAAAATTGAAGAAAGCGTAAGTCTGGCGTGGCACAAAGAGAAGCAAATTCTTGAACCACACAACGCAACCCTTCTTTTCTTTTCTTTTCTTTCCTATCGTTGGTTCGTTTTCATCTTTCTCCGCCTATGGCTAGGTTTTGATATAACAAATCTTCATCGTCTCTATATTATCAATTGTTTGCTTATTTTTTAATTGTGAATTGCATGATCCGTATGATTCAATTTTCTTTAGTTGACGGAATACGTAAAAAATGCTCGTCGGTGACACAGCAAGCCTCCTCTGCACGTTAATCTTCATTTTCCGTCAAACCCAATTTTCGCCATGTCGAGGTCTGTGGAAGCTTTCCCTTTTACCTCTGTTTATTAATTATTTTTAAGGGTTCTTGATTTGTTTGCTTTTACCTTTTCCTAATAATTTGGAGATTCCATTGTAGTGTTTATTTTTCCACGCTGCGTTGTTGTACATTAAACACGAGCTTTTCTTTAGAGGTATAACCTGTAATTAATCGATTTGGGTAACATTATTCTCATGCCTTTTTTATGTTGGTATGAACTCTGGGCATGTACTAGACTTGTTCTGATGGGCTTCGTTTAGTGCTTCTAGATATTGATCCGTATTCAAATGATGATGAGTGGATGGGTCAGCTCAACTGATACAAAGTTTTACTATCACACCCGGATCTCAGGTCTAAGTGGCAGAAAGGTTTGGCACTTCAATGTCATCTCTTTGCCTCCTGGGGCTATAGCGTGTACCAAGGGCAGAACCTCTCAAGTCCAACTACTAATAACATGAATAATTAATGAGAACATTTGATTATTAGATCATGGTTTTGACTCACCAATACATCACTATTTTATGTACTCTGGTTTAAATAATATGAGTTTTGAAGGAAGCAGCTTTTGGTGTTGCTGCATGGTCATTAGAACTGGACAAGATTTCAATATAGGTTTATCACATAGAAAGCATAGTGACAATATGGTTATGTTAAGATGGTCAACTTTTACTTTTGTCAATAGATTGAACTGCATTCATCCGATAACTAAATACAACTGTTATTGATTTGAAGCATGCTCTTTTGTTATCATTATTAAATAGTTTTTGTGTACATTAGTACAAATTAAAATGGAAATGAGGTTAGGCTGTATGTACTTTGCTTTCAATTATTCAGAAAGTAAAAGCTCTTATGTGTGTATTATTGGCCTGCTTATGGGGTTGCAGATTCTTGACATTCGGTAATATTAAGAGAGTTTCACAATCTTTGCGCGCGAACCAGTGTCACATCTACTCAAAAGGGTCTAAATATGGAGCCCTTGTCAGACCTGGATTATGTTCTCCTCAATACAGATTTTACTTGCAATTTATGTTCTCTGGTAGGAGACATACTTGGAATGCTACACGTGAAACAAGAAATGGTGTCTTCAATGGTTTCATTAGGAGTTATTCATCCATTCCAGCAAGTAATACTATAGTCCATCGTGCTCAAGTTGCTTGGAAGAGGTTGACACGGAGGTCTTTACATCATGGCCAATCTTATATACCTGCAAACAAGATTGCTCAGGCAGTTAGCTTGGCGTTGAGTCATTCTTATGTGCTTGTTCCTGGTATATTTGCAGTAACATGTGGAAACCATTTAGCATGGGCACAAGTTGTGCCAGATGCAGATATCTTTCCGCCGAGGAATACTTTGTACACAAATGCACAGGATGGGCATCTTTTCTTGACTTCGTTGATCCTATCAATATTCGATGGCATTTTCTTGTTGCTGAGAGCTTTGTATTTGTCATTTTTGTTCACACCAAGCATTATGATGGCCCCGTTTGCAGATAGTTTTGGACCTCGTTTCAGGAAATTATGGCTCAAGGTTGTTCATCAAACACTAGAAAGAGCTGGTCCAGCATTCATAAAATGGGGCCAGTGGGCAGCTACACGACCAGATCTCTTTCCTAGAGACTTGTGCACTGAACTTTCAAAGCTTCACACAAAAGCACCTGAACATAGCTTTTCCTACACGAAAAAGACAATTGAAAGAGCTTTTTGTCGTAAGATTTCCGAAATTTTTGACAACTTTGAGGAAGAACCTGTGGCATCTGGAAGTATAGCTCAAGTGCATCGAGCTTCTCTGCGGTCTCGATACCATGGTCGTGAGATGAAACCGATGCTAGTTGCTGTGAAGGTGAGACACCCAGGAGTTGGCGAGTCAATTAAAAGGGATTTTGAAATAATTAACATAGCAGCAAAAATATCAAGATACATTCCTGCTCTGAATTGGTTGAGATTGGATGAAAGTGTCCAGCAGTTTGCAGTTTTCATGATGTCTCAGGTTGATCTTGCACGAGAAGCTGCCCACTTGAGCCGCTTTATATACAATTTTCGCAGATGGAAAGACGTCTCTTTCCCCAAGCCCGTATATCCGCTGGTCCATCCTGCCGTTTTGGTAGAAACGTTTGAGGATGGCGAATGTGTTTCCCGCTATGTTGATGATCTTGAGGGGAATGAACGAATCAAAAGTTCGCTAGCCCACATTGGGACCCATGCACTGCTGAAGATGCTTCTGGTACCATATATGATCTATTTTTCTTCGTGCTTGTGATCTATCTTATGCTTTATAAGTTGGTAATTTGTACAATGCGTACTGCTTTTTCTATGGCGCCTACGATATTGCTGAAACTGCAGTCTCTTTTTGCATGTGATGAATGCTGTTAATTCAGTTGGATTGGTTATTTTCTGTGATTTCGTTGGGCATGTTGTCTCCATTTTGTAAATGTTGCTTGTGGCATTCAACAATTAAGCTAAAAATTGGAAATATCTCTGCTTCGTATTTCTGTAGCTGTACTCTACTTATTGTTGGAACGCTAAGAAGAGATCTGAATTCTTCAACTTGAAACTTAGTTTTAGTGAAGTAAATCTGTTGATTCTTAATGACAAAGGGGTATTGTTTACGGATTGCTGAACATAATGCTTGTTATCTTGGAGGTTAAGGTTGGGTAATTTTTTGGTCTGTTTATCCGTATTTGAAAGGGTAGATTTAGTGATCTAGGAATAAAAAACTTTTCTCTATGCATGTTGTTGGGAAACAAACATGATCTTTGTTTCTGGAGATGAACTGCTGCATTAATGTATTATATAAATGAAGAGATTCCGTATCACACCCGGGTTTCACATTCCCACTATTATATAAGATAAAATTATATGCGCTAAGGTAATGAAGTACCCGTGAAAATGAAAAATAAATGGATAGTTCCGTTTTCTGATTAGTTCTCTTTCCTTGTCAGGTAGACAACTTTGTTCATGCTGACATGCATCCTGGAAACATCCTTGTCCGTGTAGCTCAAAGCAAACCATCTCGTAAACGGCTTTTCAAAACCAAGCCTCATGTTATTTTCCTTGATGTAGGCATGACTGCTGAACTCTCTAAGAGTGACCGGATAAATTTACTAGAATTCTTTAAGGCTGTTGCCCGTAGAGATGGCAAAACAGCAGCAGAGTGCACACTAAGATTATCGAAGAAACAGAACTGCCCTGAGCCAGAGGCCTTTATTCAGGTGAATTTTAAGTACCTAATGGTATCTGACACTTCTATGAGGTTCTTTGAGTTTCTCTGCCATCCTTGCAATTTGGAACCAGTTTTCATGGCCCTACAGTTCCAGCCTCTTGTGTTTGTTCTTTATGCTTCTAATACACTAGCATCCATCAATTAACCCTGATCTTAAGTTACACACTAACAACCAATGAACTTCATGGTGATGAACTTTGTAACATTATTAAGAATGCCGAAGAGCTGAACTGTTGGCGCCTTGCTGTTATTATCAGTCTTTAATTGCATCAGCACCCTACTATGCAGTCTGTGGCCGCATAGTTGTTTTAAATGAGTAAATAACTCGAAAATGTGATTTTAACTGAAACTCTGGCAAGGAGGAAGCTGTTCTCTTTTCATTGAGGAAGAAATTGGGTTTCTATTTTTCTATTTTCTATTTATTATTATTATTTTTTTGTTGGGTGGGGTGGTTGGGAATTCAAGTTTTGTGTTTTTACTTGGAAATTTATCTATTTTATGATTGAATATGGAGACGAGTTCTGCATTTTAATTCCTTTCCTTTAACAGGAAGTGAAAGTGTCATTTGATTTTTGGGGTACTCCAGAGGGGGATTTTGTCCATCCTGCTGACTGCATGCAGCAATTACTGGAACAAGCTAGGCGTCATAGAGTAAACGTTGATGGCAATGTTTGCACAGTGATGGTGACAGTTTTGGTGCTTGAGGTACCCCTCTACATTTTCACTCGGACTACTCCATGAATTAAAAATTAAAATATAATCTTTGCTTCATTCTCTGAATAGTTATGAGCTTAGTTCTTGAATGCAATGAAACTGTTGTCACTAAACAATGTTTGGATAACGTACTTTTAAATTAGAAAATTTACTTAATCTTTTAAAGTAACTATTACTATCAAATAAATACACTATTTCAATTTTGACCAATAGAAAAAGTTATTTATTTCCTAATTATTTACTTAGGAGTAGTTGAATATGTTTGGTATTGGTTGCGTCTTCCTTCTCTTTTACCTTGTCATTCTGGGGTTGGTGATTCAAAATTTTATCTGCTAGACAGCTAAGTTGTAATAAGTTTTCGAAGATATTGCCTTGTGTGCATGTATTTTATTGAGGATTCATTGCCACTGAATCAGTCATTTTCTTTTAGGCCCTGTTTGATATGGAAAATTTTCCATGGAATTTTTCTATTTTTCACCTTTTTGGTTATTTGATTGGGAGAATTTTTCATAGAATTCATTCCCCCCACCCCCACATGACCTATTTTTCATTAATTGGTGGAAAACGTGGGAATTGGGTTTTCCATCTTTTTTTCTTTATTTATTATTATTATTCTTTTTAACAATTAGAACAATTCTATTCTTTTAATTGATAATTTTCATGAAAAACAAAGCCAAATGTTCAAAAGATCCAAAATTTTAACATTTTTCAGGTGAAAAATTTTACTAATCAAACATATTTATTTGACAATTCTCAATAAAATAAGTTTTAGGCAATTCAATTCCTTGTAATACGTTTTCTTTTCACCCAAATTCCATTTTTGCAATAAAACGGACCCTTAGTATTCATGGATTCAATCCTTGTGAATTTATTTTTTATTTTTTATTTATTATTATTATTATTTTTTTTTTTTGTAGGGTTGGCAGCGGAAGCTTGATCCAGATTACGACATGATGCATACACTACAGACACTGCTCCTCAAAGCAGACTGGGCAAAGTCACTTTCTTACACGATCGAAGGACTCATGGCCCCGTAAAGAAGAGGCTTAGGCTCCTCAGCAATTACTTTCTAACAATTTTGTGAATGTAGAACACATTAACTATACATCAGCCACACAAATATTTTTGTCTTGACACAATTTGTTTTTCGCTAGTTTTCGATATGTCAGTTGTCACAATTTTGTAATGACAGATAGTGTGTATTTGTTCATTGTTTTTGTTCTGATACTCCTTTATCTTGATGGTTCACAATCTATGAAGCACAATTTAATAAATTAAAGCACCCCGGTAATTGTTTTATTCCTTTCTAACAGCCCTTTCTTTTTCTTTTCTCGACGACAAAATTTTTCACATCTATATTGTATCCGTCGCTTGAGACAATGCGGTGCTTGTGTGGATACTTTCGTATTTGTAGCATGGAAGGAATGGAAAATAGTCTTTTTTCTTTCTTGGGATAATTTTCGTCTGTCAAACAAAGTGAGATAGTGATTGATTTGTTGTCAACTACAACTCGAGGAGAGGGGTGTAGTTTGTGTTTCGCGCTCCAAATTTCTTAACTAATGAGTACTTAAATACTTGCAACTGAATTGGAATGACTCTTATTCTCTCCTCTTCATCGTATCATTTAGGGCATGTTTTATAGGAAAATTTTCCATTAAAAATGATCTTTTACCACCAAGAATTTTAACTTTATTAGAAAATATGCCTAATATGCCTAATTTTTCTTATTTTTGAGGAAAACATTTTGTTGAAAAATATTTACGGTGAAAAAAAACGACAATCGAACATCCAAAAGCCAGAATCGTGTCAAAAATGATCATTTTCTATGGAAAAGCTTTCAATCAAAGGCACCTTTATAGTCAACAATTTAAAAACTCATTTCCCTTTTGGTAACAATGTCTGAACAGACATGTTAATCAGTATCCGGACGACAACTATACTGGTCAACTTTCTCAGCTTTTGATTTGTCGGAATTTAGTCAAATGAAAATAGTCGAAGGGGATCTCCAAATCGAATAAGTGAACAAACACTTGCGTATAAGAATCATCATTCTGATGTATTAAAATTCTATTTACCACCCAAATAATTTCACAAGTTACAGTGCATAAAAACTTAAATCAGTAAGGACGTGTTTGTTACTCTGGATATTACAATAAATAGATTTTAATTTTTTTTCTTCTTTAATACTGTCACGTAGCATAAAATCTTTTCGACCAAACTTGCACCAAGCATATTCCTTTATCCAGAAAACACTATGTTGCTCTCTTAAAACTTTCCATTACCAATAATCCACAGCCAATCTAGAGCAACGCCCGAAAAAATGCCACCAAGAAGAAATAGTACTAGCAAATTACCCAATGCATTCTGCTCTGGTGCCTGCCAATACAAGTCCCCAAACATATTATGGCCATGAATGTAAGAATGTAAATATAATAATGTTTCTTAAACTTACCTTATAACCTTTAGGAGCTGCTGTGAGGACACAGACAGTGAGGTGACCATTTGTTAGTCCTAAGAAGGATACAAGCAGTATCATATATCCCTGATCACCGTACTTTGCGGTGAAGTAGAAAGCGGGAATGAGCAAGAAACGCGATAATGAAGCTATCAATAGGCCCTTTCGGGATTCTAGCTTGATACTTTTTATAAGTGGAGTGTATCGTCCTATAAGATCCAACAAGTTGTACATTGCTATCAGGACAACCGGATACCTTCACATACAAAGAATTTACCATTACGAATCACAATATTGATAGAAATTATAAGAATCGCGTTCTTGTAAATTTGTTCTGAAGCATCTTATTATAAGAGCACTTACCAAGAGCCCAACTGGTGGGATCCAGTGTTTTCAAACAAGAACCCAGGAAAAATTGATAATGTGAGAACATATATAAGGTAGAGGTCCAATGCATAATCAAAATTCTGAAATAAAAGTTGTTTGTTGCTCAGCCTCTCATGTTTGGCAATGTCAGCCTGCATCGATAATAAAAGCTATTCTTAAAGTTTGAAACAAATAATTCATTGACAAATGAACTTTTTTCTTGTTAAAGAACATTTCTTACAGCTGCAGTTTCTTCAGTATTAATGCCAGCAGCAGCAAGGTCGGCATTAACTGTTTTTGATCCTTCTGAAGCTGCTTTTGTGCGATAGTACTTCACAATTGGTAGCTTGGCGAAGACAAACGCGTACAAGAAAATACATAGAAATTCAAAGAATGTGGAGATGGCGAGAAACAACACTGCAAAAATATTATAAATTAGTTGTATTACCATCTTGTTCTCATTTGATAAATCTAAGTGAAATACATGCTTCTGCTTATAAATTTGTATACCACTATGAGACTTCATCTCTAGAACTCAAAACACATAATTTCCACATTTGTAGAAGTTAGAAAGATTCTTCGTGGTATGAGAAAAAATACTTACTAACTCCTTTACGAAGGCCATTACTAGACTTATCGAAAGCTGCTTTTGTTATTAGACGTAAGGCAGAAGTGAGAGCCCCGGATGCAGCCAAACCAGCAAAGAATGACTGCAAGATCAGGTAATGGAGATGATAAATCTAAAGATCAGGTTTAAATAATCTAAATGTTCAGAAGTGTAATACAGACAGAAAAAGTTTTACATAGTCAAAAAATATACCTGGACAAATTCAGGACACATGAAAGATAGATCTCCGACCATGCCACCTTGAACATGAGCATCAGCTACACCAAAAGCAGCAACGAAAACACAAATGCCAATATAATTTCCAATTCCCCCTTTTCCTGACGTGCCTAGGTCCAACTGCAACAAGAAAAGTTATTATCAATAGGAAAAGTAAATGAAAACACGGTGCAAAATTGCTCAGAGTTAAAATATTATAAATTAGTTGTATTACCATCTTGTTCTCATTTGATAAATCTAAGTGAAATACATGCTTCTGCTTATAAATTTGTATACCACCATGAGACTTCATCTCTAGAACTCAAAACACATAATTTCCACATTTGTAGAAGTTAGAAAGATTCTTCGTGGTATGAGAAAAAATACTTACTAACTCCTTTACGGAGGCCATTACTAGACTTATCGAAAGCTGCTTTTGTTATTAGACGTAAGGCAGAAGTGAGAGCCCCGGATGCAGCCAAACCAGCAAAAAATGACTGCAAGATCAGGTAATGGAGATGATAAATCTAAAGATCAGGTTTAAATAATCTAAATGTTCAGAAGTGTAATACAGACAGAAAAGTTTTACATAGTAAAAAAATATACCTGGACAAATTCAGGACACATGAAAGATAGATCTCCGACCATTCCGCCTTGAACATGAGCATCTGCTACTCCAAAAGCAGCAACGAAAACACAAATGCCAATATAATTTCCAATTCCCCCTTTTCCTGACGTGCCTAGGTCCAACTGCAACGAGAAAAGTTATTATAAATAGGAAAAGTAAATGAAAACACGGTGCAAAATTGCTCAGAGTTGGAACTTACAACAAGAAGTCCCAAAGTGCTTAAGAAGAAAAGAATATAACCCATCACGTTCCGTTTCCTTGTATCAATCTTTGCCTCGTTGTATGCGAGTAATGCCATTGTCCCAAGCGCAAATGGTTGATAAACCAGAGTGAGGACCCGTGCAGGATGGTAATTCTACACATAGGTAGAAAAAAGATGACGAATTCTTCAAATTTGATGACATAAACATTTTACACTGAAATAATGGGCATGCAAAGAATTTGCAACTCTATTTTCAGTTATTGCTGCAGAAAACAATTAACTGGTATTCAGTTTTAACTTTGGAACATGCTCATAAAGGGAGAAATTTGTCATTGAACTCAATTATCTACAGGTGGACTATTTTTCATTGTTTTTCCCTAGTGATAGGAAGTTATTTATTGCTGTTATTCGATTATCAATCTGTCGTATGTAATAAACATTTCAAAATTCCACCAAACACAGATTTTTATCGACTACACGTAAAATCATTCTGTTCAACCATTGCACCATTAGTAACAACGACAACAACATAATTTTACTTCTTAGGAGTGCGATTTAACCTGAACCATCTCAAATCAATGAAACACTATTTTTAGTCCTTATACAGAGACAGTACAGAAACGAGATGAGAATTGTGTAACTTAATTTTAAAAAAATAACCATTTTTTTTTCTGGTTTTATTAGTAAATTATTCTAAGCAGGAAAAAGATGGATATAAGTGCTTACTGGGAACAAATTATAGTAGTAATCTCCTATTGTCAGCATACTGTTCCATGAGACAAGGGATCCCAATCCAAGAAAAAAACAAACCACCATTGCCTTGTATTTTCCCTGATACAACAATTGATTTTCCTGTCAGAATTTCAATTTCTCAAATAAGATTAAACAGAAGAAAAAGAATTACAAGAACCTCAAGCCTGCTTGGACTTGGCACTCCAGTTGAATCAAGATTAGTCATGGTGGCTCCTCCTCTATTCAAACTGCATAACGTGCAGAATAAATTCAATAGGCATATTACAGAAGAAAATAAAAATCTATAACAGTAAAAATGCCAAATCTTGAAAACAGTAGGCAAAATACCCACAAATATACTTATTCTCTTGAAGAAATTGAAAATCCAGATTCAACAATCAAGAAGATCACGTAATATACACAAGAAAATGAAACCTTATCAAGATTAAGACATGGGCTTACTTTTGTTCTAGGAGTGGCTGTTGACGGCTAAGTATGAAGAATAATGCTACTTTGAAAATAAAGTATTGATGAAAAAGAGATTCACAGTCTCTTTGCAGATTCCTTTTAGATTCACCTAACGCGGACGGTACACACAATATGATTGATTGACTTTCCAAATCTGAAAATCTTGATGCATGCCGGGCGATCTGTAGAAAATCTTTAAAGACCGATATGTGATCAAGAGATTAAAAAGTTACCCTATTAATTATCAGTTGCGGAATAAAATGCCCGAAAAAAAAGAAGGATTGAACTGGAAACAGACCACCAGTGAATTTATAAACTGATATAATTATTGATTTGCATGTTTTTCGAGAAAATAATAAAATATTAAATTGCCCGTTGATTAACAAGAGTATCATAGTCAAAGACACGATTTTTCTTTTTAAATTACTAGTCATTTTCTATACAACCATACTATACTAACCTTGGTTTCACATTGGGAATGACTCCATACACACACATGGGATCGAGCATTATTTTATTCACACGGGATCCATGCATTCATGTAAGTGCACGATCATCGGTACGATCATCCTCGAGGGTTGTTTGACTTTATTCTTTTCCATATTTATATCATGTTCTTTATAAATTAATTTCACGTATTATAATAATATTTGAATTAGAAAATGATGAAAAAATGGTTAGTTATGGCAACGAGGCGGATTCATTTACCCCAAACCCCGCACCGTCCGGCCTTAGATGGGGTAGCGCGGGGCGGGGCGGGGGCGGGGACGGGGCAACTTTTTGTCCCGTTTAATTTTTTTTTACATTTTCAAAATTTTGAATTATGTTATTATTAGAGAATAAAATACAAATTCAAAATTAATTTTTAACATGTAAATTGTTTAGAAATAAAATTATTTTTAATGTGTTTTTTAATTTTTCCCTTCACGGGGCGGGGCATCCTCGCTCTGCCAACCCGTTTAGGACGGGATTTTTTGATCCATTCAGGGCGGGCGAGCGAGACGGATTTTATTGCCATCCCTAAAAATGGTCATGTTCTTTCGTAAATGGATTTGTATATTTATTTATAATATATTAAATATCACATTAAGCGAGAATTATTTTTTGACGATTTTAATCCTTTTCTTTTAATAGATACTACAAAATTCTTGGTCATGTTTGAATTTCGTAGTATTAATTATTAATTAATTAACATTCACATTAATTCAGATTCAATAAATCTTTACTTGATGAATCTTGATTAACATGAATCTAGAGTTATTATGGATAAATATATTTATGTTCATATAACTAGGAATTTTAATGAATGTTTAAATTCAAGAATTAGCAAAATTCATGCATTAACAATTAATTCTTATGTACCAAATGTAGTATTAAAAAAATTGTTCATTTGTACCATTTCATCGTCACAAAAAATTTCAATCATAGAAGTTGACTTTTTGAGAATGCAACTTTCTTCTCTTAAATTTTACTTTCTTCTCTATTCTATTTATGTTGTAACAGATCAAAATCAAGGTCTATCATATCAAATATTATTTGTATAGTACTTATAAAGTATTTCTAAAGAACATGCAATGCACTTTCTAACTCTAACTAGTTATAATAAGCCTTTGTTTGAGCCCCATTTTGGAGGAAAGAATGATTTTTTGAATAGTATATTGATGAAAATGTGTGATTAAAAAATAAGGAAAAATTTTGGATTTACATGTAATATTATTTTATTGAAAAATGAGTGGTTGAAATGATATTAAAATACTGTTGAAAAATGCACTTTTAAAAAAAAAAAAAAAGGGCTCAAACAAAGGCTAAATATATGAATTGGAAAATGATGAAGATGAAAAAATGGTCTTTTTCTTTTATAGATTAATTTCGTTAATATAATTACATTTGAATTGGAAAACGTTGAAAAAATGGTCACGTTCTTTATAAATTAAGGGTCATAATCTAGGCATATGCTAGTAGGGAGAAAATCCGAATAGAAGATACCAGCGATGATGTCGTACTTTAATAAAAGATTCCTCAATTTCTAAAAGTGGATTAGTTTAGTATTCGATAATTGTTTTATGCAGTTTACTCAACATATATGAAAAATCTTTATACTAAATCCCATTTCTAACTTTTAAAACTAAAATTGTATTATGAAGATTCAAATTCGTGTTCAATCTTTATTCATGCATCACAAAATATTGGTTGATAATCCTCGTTGGCCCCCCATTTTTTTTTTTTTCAAATTTTAATGTTTGAAATAGTGTTTTTCTGAATAATGTATGGTTGAAAAATAATGAAAAGATTTCGATTTACGTGTAATCTTATTTTATGAAATATTGTGTAGTTGAAAATAAGTCAAATTATTTTAGTTTTTAGTAAGTACTTGTTTGGTACAGATTTTAAGTCAATTAAAATCAATTTTTTTTACCATTATTTCACTATTTCAATCATCATTTTTGAATTCTTCTCTCATAGGTATGATCCACTTTATCTTTAACGATTAAAAAATCAATTATCAAAATTCCTACCAAATAAGCACTAAATGAATTTGTCAACTAATTAATTGAGCATAAATATATAATTTTCCTATTTCATTTGCCAACTAATTAATTGAGCTCAAAATATCATTTTATTGTTTTCAACTCAAGGCCAACTTTATAATTCAAATTTCAAATAATCAAGTGGTCTAATTTTTTTTATCGTTCTTTTGTTTCTTAAATAGTCAAAAGTTGAGTTGTTGCGCCTCTTCATATTACAGTTTTCTAGTGATATTCATTGAATTTCCTCCACTTTTATCAATTTAATTTGTATACAGTGGTGAATGGATCCTATTAGGATCAATAGAACTTACCGAAATAGAACTTACCGATGGAAGATGATGTAGTTGAAAATATAGCGACAAAAAAAAAGTGTCGTATTTCGTTTTAAAATAAAATTTTCTTGTAGAACTCGAACATAGTTTGAGTTATATTGTTATGTCACTACGATCCTTCCTTAAGAGTTCAAATTAAAGCTTTGGTCACGATAGTAAAATTTTACATACTTGTTTTTAAAAAAATTGCAAGGTGTTAAAATTTCTCTTAAACGATAATTTTTTTTTTTTTTTTTTTTGATTGGGTTATATTATTTTGACGATACACTCTATATTAATTGCTATCTCTATTAAATCCTTAAAATTTGAAATTAGGTAAACCGATTTTATTGTACCAGACAAACCCCAATTTCATTCTCACTACATTGATCTCTTCTCACTCACAATTTTTCCCCCACTAAGGCATCTCATACCATCCACTAGCCATAATCCCCCGCTTACATTATACTTTGCAACTTCCCATTTTTTTTAACCGCCCAATAAAACACGAAAAAAAAAAGGAAAGAAAGAAAGAAAGAAAACACAATCGTCCCTGTTCATCTATTTGAAGATCAAATTACAACTTCCATTTTAATTCATTAACTACTCCACTTACCATTTTAACTTCCACATTTGCCATTTGCCAAGAAACCGTCCCTTTTATTGAAGGAGTCATAAGATTGCTTCAAATACATGTAATTGTTGAAATTGAAATGCTAATTGTACCCAGAATTATTCTTGGAATAGATAACCCCAAACATAAGAGTGTCTATAACGGAAACCCGGCTCCCCCCATTAGAAGGGCGCTGGGTGTCCATTATGTGTTCTCCATATACCCCAAGAATAACCCTTGTACCCATCATTTGAAAGAATAATAATAATAATAATAATAATAATAATAATAATAATAATAATAATAATAATAATTCAAATTTCAACTTCTTTAGACATCTTTGTCTCACAAACCACACTTATACACACATAATTTCCACTTACCCTTTTTCAATAGACTAAAGGCACTTTGAATTTGAAAATTATCCGAAGGAGAATTTTAGAGTACGCAGCATTTTATTTTGGACACAAAAAGGGTATTCAAACTCCAAGTATTCAAGATAGGGTGTGTTCATTGCTTTTGTAAATGACGTAAGAATTATTCGTTTTCGATTTGCATTTACGTTATTGTGTTACTTATAATGGAAGCACCATTTTGGTAGTTCAAATAAGATATGATGAGATGATTTATGATACTTAAAGGAGGATAACAAAAACCCAAGAGTAAGTGGACTGACTGATCACCGGTTCGTTGTGCAAATTGACGGTGACACAATTGACCAAAATTTGCATTTATGAAAATATATATTTTTACCATTTACTTTAGTGCCTTCCTACCGAGTATTATTTGTGGTACTCATCCGTACTAAAATTTTATAGGTTAAATCGAGGCATGACTATGGTTTGGCATAGTGACAAGTGCTCGGTGATTTGAAAAACTTTCGAATTTCTAGTAAAATTTTAAATTTGTGTAAATCTATTATGAATACTTAGATGACACTTTTAAGAATGCTTACATGTCTATCTCATATAGTTTTTTTTTTAATTTTTAAATACGCTGCATGTCACCTATAATTTAAAAGTATTGGATTGACTATGCATGAAGTTTATTTATTACTAAATTGAATTTTCAGATTTCATCCTCCTACTTAATTAAGAATGGCATAAATTGGGCTATAGTACATCTTTTGGAGTGAAATCAATGAGGTTTGAAAGACCTATGTGTCTTCTAATAGTGGTCTTAAGAATTACTTTAAAACATAACCTAGAGAAAAAGTTATATCTATTTTAGTAAACTGCATCGGGTCAGTTTCAAAATTTCTGTCCAGCATAGTTGAAAAATATTTTCGTGCTTCAAACATTATCGTCGAGACCCCCAATTTTTATATTTTGTACATATTTGAATGTAATAATCTTTGTTAAAATTTCATAATTTTTAGTTGACATTTGCTAGGCGAAATATATTTTTCTTTCCACTATTGTGCAAATTGAGATTTACTAATTTTCCTCCGAATGTTTTCCAAAATCAAAATACACCTTAATTGTGTAAGTCTATAAGGAAAAATATCTCATATTATTTTTATATATTTTAAACTCCAAAATTTTTCTCATTTACAATTTATTTTGGTTAATATCAAAGGGGGCAAAATAAGATTGATTTTTTTAACGCTTCGAGTTCCAAGAATTTGGGGCGTTACAGAAAATAACGAGTGGTTGGATCCATAGGGCGGATGATGCAAATGAAGAGCCACACAATGATCAGAGGAGAGGGAGCAAGTGAGAAAAGAGGGAAGATGCTATTACAACCATATGTATGGTGGCCTTATCCTTAAATTCACAACAACAATCACCATCATCATCACTTCCACCTCCACCTTATATCCATCATACCCTCTACCTCCGATTCAAATCTAAGTGAAATAGTCCGAAGTTGTAGCCCTAGCTAGAAATCAGAAATGAAATACTAAAAATTCATTTAAACAAAGAAATATGTTATTGCGGGATAAAATACGTATTAGGAAAATCAATCTCTCCGACGATTTGTAAAGAAAAATGGTGATCGACGATTTTCCATCATAGATATTTGCACCATGAGCTCTTATTCAGTCGAGTAAAATCGAAAACCTGTGGTGAACTCAACTGTAATAGAGGATCTATTTCTTGAACCCCTATTTCCTTTAGCCCTCGTTTAGTTATGATTTTTCACCTCCAAAATATCATTTTTTTGATCTTTACTTCTTTAAGTCAGCCGTCATTTTTGACTTTTTCACTCACAGGTAGGATCCACTTTTTTTTCTAACGGCCAAAAAATTAATTCTCAGAATAACTACCGAACAAGTTCTAAATATGAGAGATAGAGAGAGAGGTTTATAGAGAGAGAAAGAGAGTGAGAGAGAGATTCATATGTACATATTTGTGTTTGTACATGTATATGTATATTTAGAGAGATTATTTGTTTAGTGAATTGATTTGGGAAGATTCAAATTTATGTGGTGGAGATGGGGTGTGGTGGAGTGGCCGACAGTGATTGATTTGGAAATATTTCAAGTTAAGTGATGTAATAAAAGGTTGAACCCTAACCTTAAGGACCCCCACCGACCCTGCCCTGGGCCATCGTGGAGGAGGTAAATCGCAGGATGTGCCTCCCAAGAGTCAGGGTGGAGAGCACATAGATAGGCCAAGGCTGTTAACCCGTATGGTAACTCCCGCTTGCAATAAAGCCAATTCCACCTTGCGGGGAATCGAACTCTGCACACTGCCGCGCTGAGCCCTATTCGCCCTCCCCTTTGCCACTGGGAGATATGTCCTGGGGGCAAGTTAAGTGATGTAATAAAGTGGGTTGGGGGTGGTGTGGGCGTGTGGGGTGAGATATATGGGTGCGATTTAATTATGTATTAATTAATTTAATTAATTTTCATTATTATTTGATTTGTGAAATGAAAATTAGTCATCTTTATTTTTTAATAGTATACTTGTATTCGTAGGGCTTTCAGTAATTTTCCATAAAAAAATGAAATGTTTGGCCACCTGCACTACATTTTAGAAATAAAAGCATCCTGTCAGGCATTAACAATTAGGAAAAGAGAAATGCTAATTTCTCTTAGGAAAATGCCCTATGTTTTAATTTTCTGAAAATATATAGGTTTGGCGACCCAGTGAGCCCATACCCTCTTTGGCCCTATTCAGGCCTGTGAAATTGAGAGATCAGCCCTAGGGGCCACAAAATTAGAGCCTAGGGTCGAGGACCGATCAAGATATTGTCTATATTTATATTTAATATTACTAGTCAGAGTTGAACGTGCTTTATCAATTTGTTGGAAAAATTTTAAAAGTCTTAAACGAACTAAAGAAATAAAATCTAGGATAGATATTTAAGAGAAGAAAATTATACTCTCAAAACTCAACTTCTATGAATTTTTTGTTATGATTAAATAATACAAATGAGCAATTTTTTATACTACATTTGTTACATAAGAATTGATTGTTAGTATATGAATTTAAACATCCATTAAAATTTTTAGATACATAAGTAGAAATAAATTCATCTATAATAACTCTAAATTCATATAGGTCAAAATTCATTAAATCTAAATTAATGTGAATATTAATTAATTGAAAATTTATAAATGAAATTCATATATGACTATGATTTTGTAATATTTATTTCATATTGAAAAACGAAAGTAAATGCATTATTGAAATAATTGAACTGTAATGGGGTTAAAATCATCCGAAAAACAATTTTTACTTGATGTGATATTTAATATATAATAGATTAACAAGATTTGATGTAATTTTTTTGAGAATAAATTTTTGAAAGCGATGTTTTTTGAAAATGAAAAGTTAAGGTTGTGTTTGGTTTCCCGTTTTCAAGTCATTTTCTATTTTTAGTTTTCGAAAATCCCCAAAACTTGTTTGGTTTGTCATTTTCAAAAATGCATTTTCGAAAGCAAGGAAAAATTTATAACTGAAAGTTCAAAATATTTCTTTTTAGTGTTTTCAAAACTCAAAACACAGAAAACACCCAAAACATGCCAATTTATTTATTTGTTTATTATTATTTTTTTACCCAGAGGATGCTTAGGTGTACTTTTAAAATAAATTGTTATAATCTGATATAATTTAATGAAGCATAATAATTTTAAAACCCACAAAATATTTTTCAATTTCCATTATTATTATTTTTTTCGTTAATCAAAATTTGGAAGAACTATTATTCCTTTTTTTACTGTCCAAGTGACAACAAAATACATACAAAAGGATGAAGAACGGACTAGCTATTTTCTTTACAACTGTTTCTATTTTTGGTCTATAAATTTATTATTTTATTTTTGTAGCAAGAGAAAATAGTCAATTCACCAAATTTAAAATATGTATTATCTAGTAATATATTAGTATAAAATAATTAAGTTTTATTAAATATAAATTTATTATTTTATTTTTGTAGCAAGAAAAAATAATCAATTTACCAAATTTAAAATATATATTATCTGGTAATATATTAACATAAAATTATTATGTTTTATTAAATAATCAAATTAATTGAATAAATGTTATAAAACAATTTCTAAAAATTTTAAACTAAACGCATTTTCTAGTTTTCTGGTTTGAGAAACAATTTTTCAAAATGACAAACTAATCACATGTTCTGTAAATCAAAAATAGTTCCTCAAAACAAAAAATTAAAAATAAATTCAAAACTTAAAATAAAAAACGAAAATGCAAACCAAACGCACCCTAAATTATTTGAAAAAGTATTTAGTTTACAATGAGTTTTGAAAATTCTCAGCCAAATATGGGCTCAAACACTCCCAACAGTATTTCATCTATTGCTTGTTAAGTATAAATTTTATATGGGATATTAAAATGTATTAACATATAAAATGTTTGTAATTTCCTTATAATGAGATATCAAGTTTCAATATTATATATTTTTAAAAACATACTGATATATCTACAATCTTTACATTCAGTCTCGAGAGTCCCTTTTTTATTATTTTATTTATTTATTTATTTATTTATTTATTTTTTGTAATTTAAGGTGCAGAAATAATTTTATAAGAGGAATTACCAACTCATTTCAATTTTCTATTGTAATCTATCCTGTCGTGTTACACATAAAATTAACAATCGATTTCCAGGTCAAATGGCCAATGCAGCAAACCTGAACGCCCCCTCTAAAAAGCTCTATTCGTTCAATCCATAGACACTCACAATCAAATCACCAAGCTCCATTCTCGCAATCTTATACCAAGAAGACAAGAATTGCACACACAAACTCCTCAATCACAAAAACACCTTCCATTCACTAATCAATCCATGAACAAGTTCTATTTATGTGTTGAATAATTATATATACATTTCCTTTCTATTCACCTACAGACACGAGAATGGTGCTCTTCCAAGCAGACTACAACAGTGACTGGAACCACTTCAGAATTACTCGTTCAGTCCTTCAAATAACGTTGGAAGAAAGAATCCTCCATTGTCAAGCAGCAATGCAACTTATTCAGCACAATCAAAGCAAATCCTGGAAAACCCTTTGGCCTTCTGGAGGAAGCATATGGAGGTTACTTATCGAAAAAATGAACCATTAATCAGATGATGGGACCAAAGGAGAAGAATCCACAACTATGGAAGTAGACAAATGATTGATTGAAGTTTTCTGCATCGTATGGCATTCAGGAGACTGTGTTGAGATGGCAAAAGGTGGACTAAACTCGAATAATGCCTTGTTACCCTCAGAGAAGCTTCCGACACATACTGTATCACCTCTACCGTGCCATGTGCCATCTTGGACGTTGTTCATCTCCAGAGTTCTGGACTCCTGATTCAATATATAAAAGCGTAATTGGCAACCATTAAGAAGACATAAAGTTACGTATGTATGAAGAACAAATCACACTAGAATTGTCAAAAAAGAAAAAAATCAATTCAAAGAGGACGGACCTGAGATAAAGTGCAGCATGGGCAAATCAGATGGTAAACACAGTCATCCAAAGAACTATCACTACCCTGCATAAACACAAGTTTGATTATTAGTCAGACACTGAAGCAGCAAATTCATTGGCATACAGAAGTTTCAAATAAGTACCAATTCAACAAAGATCATGCTTCACATGAGCATGTAAGTGGCGGAAAAACAAAAAAAAAAAAGGCATTCTGCTAGCTGTTCTTTGACTAAACTATAGATCACCCCAACCCAACCAAGTGGAACAAACATATTTTGAGGCTACTAGCTAGAAAATTGAGAAGCAAGAAAAGCTTCTGTGCATATTGAATGGTTATTTGTGCTCGAAATCTTACATGGCCTTGCTCTGCCTTCTGCTCTTAGCTGTCAATACTAACGAGTTTTGATATCTAGTATTTTATCCGAAACAGCAATTTAACCATCTATATAAACAAGTAGAAGGGGATCTGATTATCAGATAAAGATAACCTGATAGACTACACAGCATAGCCATTTCCTTTTCAACTTCGTAGGCATTTTCCTCCACTCCTCCCTTCTCTAGTCACTCATCAGGTCCTTTTGCTAATTCCATCTCCTCTATCATCCCTAGACCTCCAAAATCAACTAAACACTTAAGCCCCATCTGTCATCCCCAATACATCAACCGATGCACCAAATGATACCAATTGCTTGGCAAACAATGATTACCCTCTGAATAATTCCACGTAAATTCAACTCAAAACACTTCTTATCACATGATTTCTATTTCTCTTAGTTGGTAGTAAGCAAACATATTCATCTGTTTGTTGGCCATTTAGGCCCACCTCTCAATGTAACATGTGAGCTGCTGGGTAAAGGAAATATACCCTCTAAATTAAAAACATATTAACAACTTTTGTATTAAATAATTTAAGGCAGTTTTACACTGGATAACTTACTTTTATGTTGAATTTTTTCTTAATCTGAGAGCGGTAAAATCCCACGTAAGTTCCGACTGACAAAGTGAAAGCAATGGCCAAATATAAAAACCAGCTTCGCCTGGTGATAATGAATGCTAGCAGGTTGGAGAGGGCAATGACAAGAAGAATCAAGTAAAAAAATCCCTGCATAATCAGTACGTTGAAGAACACCAGCAATGAAAGAAATTGATACCAAAACTGCTAACCCAAGCACATAAAAAAAGGATGAAGAATTAGCTACCAAACAAATTTCATTTCTTTAACCAGATAAGATACACTGCAACTTCCCTATCTTAGCCATCCATTAAAAAACAAGGCAATTGTCTCAACTGTGGATAAATTCAGTCACAGCTAAGGATATAGGGAGCAAAACAAGATTATTTGTCCAAGACAATCAAACATATTCGTAACTTAGTGCACAAACTTGTACAATTAATGCATGCACTTGGACACATACTGATCTAGAAACAAAAATAGTCACATCAGCATCTATGTGTTAGAGGATTTATTTAATGAAAAGCACCAAGAAGAAAAATGTTAATAGAACAAGTGCCTTAAGTGAATGACAAGTGTGTTTTACACTTATAAAACTAAATATGTATTTGTAACTGCTCAATTTGGTTTAATATTTTCATCACAAAAACAAAGATTTTGGACGTACTTGGAAGATTTGGAGCTTAATCAGAGGAGATTCAAAAGTTTTGAGAGTGGAATTCAACTTAAAGACAGTTTGGGGATTGATGTGCAGACTTCTGAGAGTTGAGAAGGACCAATTTGGATTATTAGGGAGGCTAGGGGACCAATGTGGATGCTTTTGGATGTTGCGAGAGCAATATGTAAGATTTTGATGAAAAATGACCAAAACTGTAAAACTTGAAGTAGGGATCAAAATGTAAAAATATGAAAATTGCAGGGGTGTGACCGTGGTATGCAAACCACAGTCCACCTGTGGTCAAATATGGCACCTGTATGAAATTTTGGCAAGATTTTTTTGGCTGTAATTCAGCCGCGGTTTGCTTATTATGGAACGGCTTGAGATTTAAGTCTTGTTTACAAATTTTAATCTGGGGTAATTAGGTCCTTTCGAGCGCATGACTTTCAAGGTAATTTGGGAACTATATAAAGACCTATTTTAGGTCAAATTAAATTAAGGGAGACAATAGAGGACCAAAGGATAACATACAAGAGAAGAGAGAACATGAATGCTAGGGTTTCAACATTTTTACAAGGAGGACTCTAGGTGCAAGAAATTCATTTTTTTTTCTCATTTATCCTTTAAATCTGGAGATGTATTTCAATATCTTTGTGTCTTTCTTCCTCTATGATGTTAACTAAATCACAAGTTGAGACGAACAATCCTCAAGATTTACGGAGTTAACTATTTTATGTATTGAATTTATTTATTTTCTTCGTACTTCAATTACTTGATCACTAATTCATGATTTGTGGTTGTATAAACCGAGAGGTTGGTTTTAAGCTTTGATCACGTGGTAAAATATGACAATTGGGTAAAAGGTAGAGATACATTTTTATTATTGTAATGCTCTTTAATTGAATTCTTAGGTGATTTAACACTTCTAGTTGAGGCATATTCGGAGTAACGTAAAGATATAGTGAGTTGACTCAACTAGATAGAATAAATTTAAACTTGAGACGTAAGTTGACTTAATTAGTGCATTGGAATAAGCACGAAGACAGAATTGAACTTGTGAGGCAAGATTATAGGCGATAACTATGGTGAAATCGTTACTCGGAACGCTTTCACCATCATATTTGATCTTTTGATTCATTTTACTTTCCCTAGTGAGATATATTCGGACTAGGTAGTCTCCGTGGGACGATAATCCAAACTCTAATTGACATATTATCAAACAATAGAGAACATGAGCGCTTTATGCTTAAAACGAAAGAGTATATACCTGAAGAAAGCAAGAACCAAAACCAGCTCGTTTCATGTTCCTTCCAAATCTATAACATGGACAGCTGCAACACATAACAAGCTAATTACACACTGTCCCAAGCTTAATCCGAATGCTTGATAAAAGATAACATCTTTAATCCGAAAAGTAAACTTGCAACAACTGATAAATTCCCAAAATAAGTACATCTTTTCTTTAAACATGCAGATATGCAGTAGTGAAAACGCAAGATAACATAACTCATAGATAGCAATTCTATAAAAACTTAAAGACATTCCGAATATCTAAATCCACACAAAAAACTTAAAAATCTTTTCTACACATTAATTACTGGTTAAAACCAATTTACTATAAATTAAAAAGGAAAGAAATCTTAATAAAGCAATAATAGCCGATTAGGCATTCGACAATCGGTTAAATTTTACTCTTTATGAAATAGATGGACCAAATTAAAAAACCCAGAATACCCAAACCAAAAAAGATTAGACATTTCAACAAATTAATAAATAAAGTTTAAAAACAGCGAAAATGAATTGGTTTGCAAGAAGATAATAAATGAAGTCAATACCATGTGGATTGCAGAGCGATTTGGCGATGATCGAAGCAATCGTAGATAAGTTCACCTTCCCACATCCTAAACACTCCGCCTCCGTTCTCATTATTCTTAAATAAAATGGCTTCTTCCTCATCTTCGTTGCTTTCATTCAATTTTCCCCAAGTCCCCTTTTGGGCCTGCATGGCAACCGTGGAGCACAACATATCAAAATCCAATACGGCCACTCCCTCCATCAACAACCTTTCCTCCTCCTCCTCCTCCTCCTCGGCGGCTGCGGCCTCTCTCTTCTCCAAAACCGTCGTCATTTCAATCAAAAGAACCCTTTTGTATATAATATATATTTCCTTTAATTTGTATGCAGGTATTCAATTTATGTAATCTGTCTAGAGATTTTATGAGGGAGAAAGGAGAAAGGGTATAATAAGATAACGATGGAGGTTTGTTAGGGAGAAAGGGAAAGAGAAAAGTGAGTTGGATTTTGGTTGGCGCGAGTAATTACGTAAAGAATTTTGTTCTTCTTACTCAAACACGCCCCTCACAAAAAGGGAGGCCGTGTAATCAAGCGTGTTAATATTGGAGTACATATAGCATGACCCTTACAAAAAAACTTGGGCACCGACCCCATGCTATAGGGGGCGTGTAATCAAGCGCGTCAACGTCTGAGTACATATAGCGTGGTCCTTAAAATAAAAACCTGGGCTAATAATGATGATCCATCTTGCGCCACGTGTACATATAAATGAATATTGGCTCTTGGATGTGCACAGTTGATTACTATTTTAACGGTTAAAAAATGCCAAAAAGGCTGAATATTATTCTCAATAATGTATTGTCATTTGTTAATGAGAAAATGATAGGATGGAGGATGACTATGAGCCAGCTATATGAACACTGAGCGCATTAATTATTAGACAGTATAATTGATAAGATATTAAAGGAATATTTGTGAAGCAGTGGGTGGGTTTTGTATGCATCTATAATATAATGTATGTGTGGACTCTTTTTAGGATTGTGGTTTGGATAGGTATCAAATAAGTGTAATCCATTCTCAACCAATCCACGTGCTAAAAGGTATTTGTTCCGTTTAAGTCTCAGCTCTTGGCACATTGGAAAAGAGAAGATAATTTCTGGAACCACGAGGATAGATTTGCTTTCATTTTTATGCAGATTAAAAAATATAATTGAAAATATGATTTTTTTCCTTATATTTTTTCTCATGAATACTAAATTTCATATGTTCAATTAAATGAATTACGAACGTTGCAATTATCCCCTTTTGGAGCTCATTTTAATGAGTTTTTTTGTCCAAATCTGATTAATCCACAGTGAATAATTAATAAAAATGCAAAAGTTGAACAGTTGTGTGTCAGATTTCAATTTGCCCATTGAACTGTTGGAAATTGATTGGAATAATTTACCCTCACCAAGCCAAGCCTATTGACACCATTTTCTACAAGGGTCCATTTGATTGCAAATATGGAATTTGGGTGGAAAGAAAAAGAATTTCAGGAAATTAAATTGTCTGAAAGTTGTTTTACTGGGAATTGTAAATTATTGTGTTTGATTGATATAATTTTTCACTTGAAAATTGTTAAAATAAAAGTGTTTTTTGTGCTCGTTTGATTTTATTTTATATGAAAATTGTCAATTAAACGGATGTAATTTACTGGTATTGGAGATGAAATTTATTTTCATTGCCAAAACTAAAAAAAAAAATGGAAGAAAATCATCTATCTTTTGACGTTCGTTTGACTTTGTTTTACATGAAAATTGTCAATTAAATGAAAATATTTTTTTACAATAATTCTTAGAATTTGTTTCTATTAAAAAAAAAAAAAAAAAGAAAAGAAAAAAAAAGACGTCAAGCGAAAATCAATTCCCACCATATTCAAGAATTTAATTTTCATGGAAAGTAAAGTTTATCAAACACCATAAAAAGTGAAAATTGGAAAATAATTTCCATTTTCCATGGAATTTAACCTCTATACAAGCATGGCCTATAAATAACATGCCAGTGGCAATTTTGCAACATTGGGTGAATTGTATGTGGACCACTCCATGGAAAAGTTAAAAAAGCAACCGTCAAGATCAGATTGATGCAACAATTTCAGACGTGGGGACAACAGATTATAAAAATGAGTGAAAAAAATTGGAAAGAATGAGAGCCAAACACACTCTTAAATAAATATATAATTTAATGTTATGCACTCATCACCTAAACTGGTGCTTGACACTATTGTTGTTGAATAACGTTATTCTTTCATAATATATTTCTATATAAAATAATTATTTAAATAGAAGTATCTCGTATTTGTTGATAATAAGGCACATTAGATCTGAGTATACTAGGAAAAAATATATATACCAAAAGTAACCTACAATTTCGGACGGACGAAAAATGAAATCAAGCATATCTTTATAAGACGAAGGATGTATGTTTTAATTTTGATTGCTAGAAATATGAATCAACATTGAACAATATAGAGAGGAAAAACATGGATTTACCAAAATATCTTATACTCAAAATTATTCATTAACACAAACAACACATGTAAGTATAACAGATAGGAGATACCAATTTCAAAGTCTGAGAAGAGAATATATTTACTATGCAATCATATCTAATATTACGTCTTCATTGCAAAATAAAATGCCCACAAAGTCAAGGAAACGAGATTGTGTTTGTTAACATGACCTTGCAGCTAGGTCAGATAAAGTCCATATCGAGAGAATTTGATTTCTTCTGGGATATAAGTAGGGAAAATGTCTTCAGCTTGAGTTTTTCCTTTCTAGTCAAACATATATTGGGCCTGTTTGGGCTCGATTTTTTCATCCAAAAAATTGATTTTTTGACCGTTATTTCACTATTACAGCCGTCATATTTGACTTCTTCTCTTACAGGTGGACCACACTTTTCTCTTAACGGTCAAAAAATCAATTCTCAAAATCACTCCCAAACATGCTCATTGTCTATGGATGGGGCCTCTACTTTCACAGGAGCTTCAGGTGTGAGATAGCAGGGGCGGACACAAGGGGAATTTTGGGGTTTTGAGTTTTTTATTTATTTTTTAATTTTTATAATGAAGCCCTGATTGATATGAATTAAAAACTAAATTTTAATATAAATAAAAATTAACGATTAATTTTAATAACATATTTTATGGGATTAATAATTTTTCAATTTTTATCAAAATTTACTAGAAATATTATTTTAATCTCCATCAAACATGGACAAAATCACAATAGATTCGAACTTTTCCATTTTTCTTACACTCTTGTGACTCTCTCACTCACGCATTTTATAAAAACCTTAACTTTTCTAATTTTTCAAAATTTGTCTATAATTTTTCTACAAATTATAATATTTTCTTTTTTTCCAAATCATATTTTGAACCTAAATTTGCATTTTCTCCTATTAAATGATGTATATAGAATGAGTTTTAAATGATTAAACCTAATTTGACTTATATATAATAGATTGTGTTTATTTGATTCAATATTAGTAGTGAATATTGGTTATATATATATTTTTTTCTTTTTATTACTTGAATTAATTGTTTGTATCAAATATAATATTAATTCTATAAATGTAAATATGCATTTTCTTGTGATTGGTAAAATATTAATAAAAGGACTATTCAAAATTAAATGGATGAAATTGATTAACAAAATATTAATGAAATAATGTGTTTTTAAACTTAATTCTACAGTTTCTTGAGCCAAGTCTGAATTATTCAAAAATCAAGAACAAAGTATTTGATCTATACAAGATCTGACTGTGCCCCCAACTCAAAAAGTCTGCGTCCATCCCGGGAGATAAGGCAGCCAAACTACTTTTACAGTACAAATGCCTTCTTGTTCATGTCAAGTGTTGGCCTTTACATTATTAGTCCAATGAAATCGAATATTCTCATTATGGTTCTTATCATTGTACCATGGTACTGCACTACAGTTTTGTGGATCAAATGAATCAAGCAGAGTTAAACACAACCCAAACCGTTCGAACTGACCAAAAGTTCAATTGTTTGGGTGGGGTTGGAAAATCAAATTTGAGGCTGGGTCGGGTTGGGTCGGGTCTCGAGTTATGATTTAAAATCAAATTCAATCCAATCCTACACAATTCGATGAATTAAAAAGTATAGTACCTAAAATGGAAAAATCTAAATAAACACAATAGTAGAGACAAGAATAGAACTTAAAATGTACAAACATCATCTTTTTTTTTATTGGCTAATTAGTATGAATACTGTGTACAAATACAAAATAATTTGATGATAAATTGAAAATTAAGGATGTGATAATGAAATGAATAAATCTCAAAAAGATTATAAAAAGTAAATGTTCCATAGTTTCAAATTTATTTATGAATTAGTTTTCAAAAAGAATTTTTTATATAGATTAAAAACAATGGAGATTTTTAAGTGACTTCAAACTTTAAAAATTGTTCAAATAACAAAAAATGATCTAATCCAACTTGAATTGGACTCAAACCAAAACCGACCAACCCAACTGATAAGTGTAATTTGTACACTTATCGCAGTTATTAAATTAGAGCAATTAATGTTACTTTTATATATTACGTGTGTTAGGTGCATTTCGATGAAAAAGATAGAAGTTGCCAAAAGAAGCGAAAAATTGGTCAAAAGGGCATGAATCCAAAGTTTAGGGACTAAATTGCAAAGTGTTGATAGTTGATTTGGACCTAATATCAATTATTGGAGATGGCGTGGAGTCAATTAAATGGAATTGGAAGATAGAAGATCAAGAAGATATCAAAAGGAGCTAAAATGAATGAAGAACAAAATTGAGGGACCAAAATAAACGAAAGGAAAATTTCCATAAATGTGCCCACGTGTAGGCCAAATTGGCCAATTCTCGCATGTATGCGACACCCTACGATCCATTTATTGAGAACAAAATTAGTGAACAGCGTGTGCACAATGAATTGTACAGTGTGCGCGAATGGACCATTTCTGGGCCTAAAAGGTCCAGTATCCTTTTTTTTTACCCAAACTTTTATGGAAATTGAATTTAATTTGCTATTTAAGTAACAAGGGATGGCTAGAACAGGAAAGAACATAATATAAATAATTTTCACCACAAAAAGGAGGCTAGCACGGGATTCAAAGGCGATTAACACGAGAGATTGAACATTCAAAGTCTAGGGTGAAGATTAATGAAGAAGAAATTGATTTTTTCACTTTCCAATTATTGTTTTCAATTGTGGGTGATGTTTTTCAAACCTTTTTGTGTGATTTATTAAATAACATGCTAGTCTAATTCTTTTCTTGCATTGCATGAGATGAACCCTATTGTTTATTTATTTTAATTCAAAACTTGTAGTTTAATTTAATTCTTGTATTTCTTGATTAATTTTGCGTACCCATTGTATTATTTAATTGATTGGCCACCAATTAGATAATTAGTTACTTGTCGTAGTGTTGAAAGACTCCAATAGGTTTAGAATATGGTAAAATTAACATATCTGCAATAGATGTTAAGAATAAA